AGCAGGGGGGCCCGGGGGGGCACAGCAGGAGTAACAGGGGCACGGGGGCACTGGGAGGGTACAGCGGTGCTAACTGGGGAAACTGGGGAGCGCAGCATGGGGAACTGGGGGGCACTGGGAGGGTAGAGCAGTGCTAACGGGGAACTGGGGAGCACGGCATGGATAACTGGGGGGAACTGGGAGGGTAGAGCAGTGCTAACTGGGGGAACTGGGGAGCATGACAGCATGGGTAACTGGGGGGAACTGGGAGGGTAGAGCAGTGCTAACTGCGGAAACTGGGGAGCGTGGCATGGGTAACTGGGGGGAACTGGGAGGGCAGGGCAGTGCTGACTGGGGGAACTGGAGAGCACAAGAGCATGGATAACTGGGGGAACTGGGAGGGTAGGGCAGTGCTAACTGGGGGAACTGGGGAGCACGGCATGGATAACTGGGGAGACTGGGAGGGCAGGGCAGTGCTAACTGGGGGAACTGGAGAGCACAAGAGCATGGATAACTGGGGGAACTGGGAGGGCAGGGCAGTGCTGACTGGGGGAACTGGAGAGCACAAGAGCATGGATAACTGGGGGAACTGGGAGGGCAGGGCAGTGCTGACTGGGGGAACTGGAGAGCACAAGAGCATGGATAACTGGGGGAACTGGGAGGGTAGGGCAGTGCTAACTGGGGGAACTGGGGAGCACGGCATGGATAACTGGGGAGACTGGGAGGGCAGGGCAGTGCTAACTGGGGGAACTGGAAAGCCCAGCATGTATAACTGCGGGGAACTGGAAGGGTAGGGCAGTGCTAACTGGGGGAACTGGGGAGCACAACAGCATGAATAACTGTGGGGCACTGGGAGGGTAGGGCAGTGCTGACTGGGGGAACTGGGGAGCACAACAGCATGAATAACTGTGGGGCACTGGGAGGGTAGGGCAGTGCTGACTGGGGGAACTGGGGAGCACAACAGCATGAATAACTGTGGGGCACTGGGAGGGTAGGGCAGTGCTGACTGGGGGAACTGGGGAGCACAACAGCATGAATAACTGTGGGGCACTGGGAGGGTAGGGCAGTGCTGACTGGGGGAACTGGGGAGCACAACAGCATGAATAACTGTGGGGCACTGGGAGGGTAGGGCAGTGCTGACTGGGGGAACTGGGGAGCACAACAGCATGAATAACTGTGGGGCACTGGGAGGGTAGGGCAGTGCTGACTGGGGGAACTGGGGAGCACAACAGCATGAATAACTGTGGGGCACTGGGAGGGTAGGGCAGTGCTGACTGGGGGAACTGGGGAGCACGGCATGGGTAACTGGGGGGCACAGGAGCGACTGGGGGGTGCGGGGTGCCGGGGGCTGCGGGGGCCCGGTCCCCACTGAGCCCCGGGCAGGGGCCGCGGGTGCCTGCCCACAGGATGCTGGCGCGGGGCCGGCAGCTCCTGCGCTGCTGGAAGCCGCTCTTCACCGGCCGCCTGCTGCTGCTGACCCACACGGCGAGCTGCGGCGCGCTGCTGGCCACCGGCGACGTGCTGCAGCAGGCCTGGCACTGCCGGCGGCACCCAGACACCGAGCCCCAGGTGGCCCGCACAGGTGACAACCCTGGGGGGGGGACACGCACGAACCGCGGGGGGGGGGGTGTGATGCAGCACAGCCTCACGCATGGTTTAATCCACGCTCGTTATCACGGCGGGGTGGAATTGGGGTGGCGTTCCCCGGCACGACGCAAAGCCGCCTTCGCGCCTTCCCCGGAGCCGGAGCCGCTTTCGGGGGGGGCGGGGAGCCCAGGGTGGGGGTGACATAAATAATTCATCGGTCGCCGGGGCGGTGTTGTGTTGCAGGACGCATGTTCGCCGTCGGCTGCAGCATGGGCCCGCTGATGCACTACTGGTACGTCTGGCTGGACGCCGCCTTCCCGGCGCGGGGCGTGCGGGGGCTGAAAACCGTCCTGAAGAAAGTCCTCATCGACCAGCTGGTGGCATCGCCCGTCCTCGGCGCCTGGTATTTCTTCGGTACGTGTCGGCACCCGCCTTGCGTCAGCGTCGCTGAGAACTGAGCGTAGCCCAGGCTGCCGGTGACGCGTTACGGCGCGTGGGTGCCGGCGTGATGCCTGTCACCCTCCCTTGGTGGGCGCATGTGGGGTTCCCGGGGCTCCCTCCCTCCGGCTGGGGCCGGCGCTGCCCTTCCCTCCCATGGTGGGTTTTTTTGCCATTTTTCGGCGTCCAGCCCAGCTGAGATAGCAATTCCCATCCACACTCCCCACCTGGAGCCTTGTGCGCGCTCCCATCCCCACTGACGTCCGTCTGTCCCCGCAGGCATGGGCTCGCTGGAGGGCCAGTCTCTCCAGGAGAGCTGGGAGGAGCTGAAGGAGAAGTTTTGGGAGTTTTACAAGGTAAATACACCCCCCTGCCGAGCTCTCCCTGCCGCCCGCGGTGGGGACCGGGCTCCGGCGGGGAGCGCCTGGCTGCTCTTTGCTCCCGGCAGGCCGACTGGTGCATCTGGCCGGCGGCTCAGCTCCTGAATTTCCTCTTCGTCCCACCCAAGTACCGGGTGGTTTACATCAACGTGATCACGCTGGGCTGGGACACCTACCTCTCCTACCTCAAACACAGGGTGAGCACCGGCACCGCGGTGCCACGCCGGCCACGCCTCGCCGCTGCGGCCAGCTGGGCTCGTGCCGAACGTGCCTTGGTTCTCTTTATTTTCCAGCCTGGCAGCCCCCCGAGCGCCGAGCACGACTCGCCGCGGGAGAGCCCCGCCCCCCCCGGGGGAGAACCGGCGCAGGGCCGGGATGTGAAGCGGCAGCCGCTCTTAGCGACTGCGACGTTTTCGGGGGCTCCTGCCCGCAGCAAGCGATTTTCTGGGCATCGCGGCGGACGCGGCTCCATCCGCCCAACGACCATGATGGCCGGAGCCCGCTGCGACCGCTGTCTGCAGCTCGCTGCCGCCTGCGCGGATCTTGCTGGTTAACTCATGTCCTGATTGCAGTGATGGGGTTGGGTGTTTTTAACGAATCGCCTGTCCCAGGCTAGCCTGGAAAGCGATTTCTTTTTGTATTCTTCCACAGAGCCCACGCTGCCGGGGCGGGGAGGAGCTGCTGCAGCTGCACTTTGCCTTTGGCGCCCCGGGGAAGGTCCCCAGCGCGCTCCCCGCTGCTGCAGCCGGGTTTTTTCCCCCTTCTCCAGGACAAGGCTGGCCCCTTGCTCCCCTCCTCGGCTCTTGCGCGGAGCCAGCGGCTCGGGTCCCTGCCTTGCTCCCGCTTCGGCTGCTGGGCAGCGGGATGCCGCCCCGCCGCTCTCGGCGCAGCTCCTCGGCCCTTTCCCTGCTGCTTTTTCTCTCGCAGCCGAAGGGAGAAGTCATCCGGCTCCCCGCACCCGCCGCCTCGTCTCCCTTTCGCCCCACCTCGCACCCACCTCCCCGGCGCCGCGCGTGGGCTGGGCTGCAGCCGCCCAGTTTTTATAAAAATAGCGGCGCGATCGCTGCCGCCTGCTCACCGCCGGCTTTGACAGCGGCAGAGTCGCCACGGAGGCGGTCGGGGGTTTTTAAGGCAAAGTTTTTCGCAGGATTTGGACCACAGCTCCCTGGGCAACTTATTTATTTCCAGCATCGATAAAAATTGCCTAAATGCGATTTTTTTTTTTTTCCCCGAAAGCTGTGCCGTTCAGCTCTGGCCTGGTCCCTCCTGCCACCCCCCCGGGGGGACGCCAGCCCACCGCAGCCAGCCAAGCTGCCGAGCCACCGCAGGAGCCATTTGGTGAATGCTAATTAAGAAAACAGATCATTTCAGCTCCTCTCCGGCAACGAGCTCGACAGCGCGGGGCCGAGGCGAGCGGAGGTTACCGACGCCGAGCGGAGTGCCCGGCCTGCTGCCCCCTCTCCACCGGCAATGACCCGGAGCAACCGGTGATCAGCATTGATTTATTTCTTCACAACATTTCTTTAATACAGTGATTTTTAGGAAATCGTACTCTTTTTTGACACTTTTGACATTTGTACAGTACAGTTTAACTCTTCCATAAGTAAACTTCACAAAAAATAGGGAAGGGGAAGGGGGGGAGATGGTATCGCGCTCGGGGAAGGGGAAAAATCTGTAAAATAAAGACACAGCGCTCCAAGAAAAATAAATAAGAGGGCAGCAAGACCTCCGGGTCTGTCATCGCTACAGGAATATCCACTTATTCACAGTCTCCACAGAAGCACGGTACTACAGGAACGCACGAGGAGCCCAAGGCCCTGCAGCAAATTAGCAACGCTCCTCCGAGCCCCGCGAGCCAAAACCGGGGGCTCAGCGAAGGTCCCCGGCCCTGAACCGGGGCTAATTTGCTACAGCTCGCTTGGCTGGCCTCGCTTTTATTTTGTTTGGTTGTTTTTTTGTGGTTTTTTTTTTTTTTTAAACCTTTAAATAAGAGATTTTTTAAAAGTGATATTCACAAGCAAGGTTACCACACTGAGAGGAAAAAAAAAAAATAAAAAATAAATGCACCAACACGGCCACAGCACAGCAGGTCACGCGCACAGCGTCACTTCCTACGCCTATTTACAAGGAGGTTCTCTTATGTACAAGGAGGAAGACGGCGGGAGCATAAATTAGCATCTATTTATACAAATAAACAATCCATCCATCTGGGGGGAGGAGAGCCAGGGGCAAAGAGCCCCCGGGAGCTCTCTGGGCAGGCGGGACCTGCGCCGCGGCGGGGAGGGGGACACGGGGAGTCCCAGCGGGACGTGAGGTTCTGGGGTCCCATCGCAGCCCCCCCCCACCCGTCCCTGCTCCCCAGGGACCCCGGGGAGGGATGGGACCGGGGGCGATGGGAGCTGGCGGTGGCGAGCAGAGAAAATAATATTTCTCAGCAAGGGGCTTGTGGAGCGATTACAAGCAGAATGGGGGGAGTTTTCTACCAGCCCAGGCTTAAAAATAAATTAAGGGGGGGGGGGCACCAGCCTAACTGAACCGGGGG